GTACACATAAAAGTGTTAGTGATTTGAGTTTAGAAAAAGAACAGTCTCAAAATAGTGAAGGTAAAGCTATTCCAAGTAAGTACTCACACACAAGCCTTGAAGTTACATACTAATTAAAACAAAACCTGTTAAAGAACTGTTCCCTTAAACATGAAGCCAGGAAATTACCACAAACAGCCATTTCAAAGTAGAATTTACTCTAACTGGTATCCACAGACACAATTATCTGAATAATGGTGTTTCCCCTTTATTTGGGTGAAAATAACCTGTATGAATGGGAATTTGGAACATGGAATTTTCTCCTCCAGAATTTTCTTTGATTCTCCTCTGCTTTTTGAGACAACTTAAAAGCTTTGCTCCTCCCTTCTAGGTGCTGGGAAGTCCCTTTAACAGGTAATAGTGATAAATCCAGTGGGGCAGTCAAACAGCTGTCCCGAACATTTATTTTCCTTTAGTAATAGACAACATGTTAATGGGGCACATGCTACCCGTTTTCCAGCTTCTCTTGCAGCTAGACAAGGTCAGGTGTTAACTTCTGGCCAATAGGATGCCAGTGGAAGTGTTTAAAGCTATCCTCGGGCAGTGTCCTTAAATGAGGATGCTGCCAATTTTGATTTTTTTTCTTTTTGAGATAGGTCTCATAATGTTGTCCAAGCTGGACTTGAACTCTTGGGCTCAAGTGATCCTCTCAACCCGAGCCTCCAGAGTAGCTTGGACTATACGTATGTGCCCCCTCACCCGGCAATCTTTTATCCTTCTTGCTGGCTGGAATCCGACCCAATGGCTAGAACTTGAGTATTGGGCCAGGGGCGGCTTGCAAAGCAGAGAGGAGTACTGGCCCTAGATGTTATGGTAGAACCACTACCAACCCTGGATTGTCTACCCTTGAACTCTTGTGAAAAAGGAAAACTCATTTAAGCCAATTTTTTTTCTTGTAACAGATAGCCAAAACCTAATCCTGATACATACAGCATGCAAAAATGATTTATAAGAGTGAAAATAGATACATGGCAGCATCCCACAGAGGTTTTTGGCCTAGTATTTGTTCGAGTTGGAATGACAGGTGATCCAGAGATAATGAAGTGAGTTTATTCATTCTTTAAAATCAAGCAAAGAACAAAGTAGAAAGAGGGACATATAAAGTAGTGTATGTTTATGCTTTCTCCCATGCACTGATGTTAATAGAAAATACACTTTCCAACATTTAAGTGGCCCCTCTACAGACTAGTAAACATTACGTATAGAACAGTTCTTAGCTGGGCATGGTGGTAGATCCCTGCATCCCAACTGTAGCCCCAGGCAGGAGGATTATTTCAGCCCATGAGTTGGAGGTTAGCCTGGGCCACATAGTGGGGTAAAAAGAATAGTTCTTGGCAATGAATGAGTAGTAAAAAGGTCCTGATAACCTTTATAAAGTCACATGTCTCTGAGCTTCTACCTGCTCCCACCGAGATTTTGATTTATTTGAGTGGGGCACAGGTTCACCAGATGACAAACAGCAGCTGCTGTTAGCCTTGGGTACACACACGAGCCCTCAGGGGAGCTTTCAAAAATGATGCCTGTGCCTCATCTCCCCCAACCCCCAGTCTTGTTCAAATGGCCTGAGGTAATTCTCACGTAACTATGGAGAAACATTTTCCCTACTTGAGGTGGGAGTAATTAATGCTGTACTTTACAGAACATCATCAACCAATGAATGTACAAGAAATAAAAATAACACGATTTGGGCAAATGTTGGCTAAAGATATTAAACTCACTGGGTGAAGAACTGTTGGGGAAAAGACACATTCTGAAAGCACCACCGCTTCCTTATCAATCACAAACGGGAAATGCATCTTTACAATGGAGAAGTCTGACAGACACTACCTTAACAGTAGGATCAAACTTAACATGCCAATGAGACAAGCTGACAACATCTGCTTCCTGCTCCAACACACTGAGAAAGTATTCCTGTCCTCCCTGAATCATCATCTATAATTTTTACAAAAAAAACTAAAAAATATACATATACCAAACATCCAAGAAAGGATTATATGCCTGTGTATTAGAAGTAAAAGGCAATTTTAAGAACATATTTTTAACCCACGAAAGTAAAGATATCTTCCATTTTGGAAGAAAAGATAGATTACAAAAATGTCTTCTTCCTACTTTTAAGTTCTATGGATAATTCCTGACATGTTCTTTGAGTTAGCAGTAGGTTTAAACCTACAGAAAAATCATAAGAACACACTCATCTTTAATAAAACAAATGTAGTAACATTCAACCGCCCAGCCAGACAAGATGACAGAATTGTCTTTCTTCTTAACATTTACTGTTTTGAATGATACCTCCCCCCAACAATTAGGTAAATATACAGGTGTAAATTTGGGGGTTCCATTATATTACCAGAGTGAAGAGGAACCTGCCCTTCAGAGACACAAACTCATGGCAGAGCTGGGCTAGACCTGGGCTCCAGAGCTTGTTCCACCAGACCCCTTCAGTCCCAAGGTGCAAACCCAGCAGCTACCTCAGATGATGCTTAATGATTCTACTCATATTTCATATTCAGTTGAAATTTTGATGGCTACTCTTTTGCTCTATGGTTTTCAGGCCTAAACATAATAGAAATGGCATGTGAACTACAGGGGAACGTGCAGATGCTGCTGACAGTGAAGGCAGAAACATACAGTGCAAACACACGTAGAGCAAAATGTCCACTGGAATTCTGCAAAGAACACAATTACTAAGATTGTCCACATTTTAGCCCTTTAAGAACGAACATTTCCTTTGTCCTTGAAACTACCATACTGCCAGATGTTCTCAGCTCTTGCCCTGTTTTCAGTGTTTCTATATGGGAGAAGCAAAGATCACTATTCTAGTGAGATTTTGGCTCACTTTTATTAGATAGAGCTAATTCAACATCGCTGATGCTTCCTCCCATTCTTAAAACTAAATTGCTATTTGTTTAACTCAGACATTTAAGATTGTAAAAGTGTTTCAGAAATACAAGTTCTTAATTTTTCTAGCAATACAGGAACCCAATACACAGAACCATAAAATTAAATCAGAAAATTGACTAAATCCAGAGAATACTCATAGCCTTTTATTTGTATATTTAAAAAGAATAGTTTACCTAAGCAATTCGCTTTAGAAATTTTTGCTACTGAAGTATTTCACCTAAGTGTAAAAGACAGATGTCCAAGAACATTCTGTTATGCTACCACTTGTAATATGAGAAGCTTTGCTGATTGGCATGTATCACTAGCAGGGAGAGAGAAAAGAGTTAAAAGGACACTTTATAAACTGTGAATGTGAGGAAAGTGGTTAAGCAACCTGCCCAAGGAGAAAGCTAGTTTAGGGCGGCTAGCAGAAATGTGTGTTAGATGTAAACTTTTCTAGCAGAGTTACTTTACACAATCAGTTCACTATAGGTTTTAATAAGAGACATTTCACACAGAAGTGTCAGGGATACATCTGTCCTAAACTCAATCCTATGACAAATGCATATAGAAACTAGTGGGCATATTAGGTGTCTATATACCTCTTAAATTCCTGTTTTATTTTTTTTTTTTCCTTTTTTTTTTTTTGATTGGCTACATCTGTGGAAAAATTCCTGTTTTAGAATCAGTGTCTCCTCCTTCCTTTAAAACTTTTCATATTACTGAATGCTCTAGAAATGAGAAATGTTTGACCTGACAGTCTTTAGAGACAACTCATCTAGTTCAGTTTTTTTTCATTGAGCAGGTGAGAAAACAAACCCAGAGTGAAGAGGAACCTGCCCTTCAGAGACACAAACTCATGGCAGAGCTGGGCTAGACCTGGGCTCCAGAGCTTGTTCCACCAGACCCCTTCAGTCCCAAGGTGCAAACCCAGCAGCTACCTCAGATGATGCTTAATGATTCTACTCATATTTCATATTCAGTTGAAATTTTGATGGCTACTCTTTTGCTCTATGGTTTTCAGGCCTAAACATAATAGAAATGGCATGTGAACTACAGGGGAACGTGCAGATGCTGCTGACAGTGAAGGCAGAAACACACAGCGCAAGAGGGCAAACGCTTAGAACACCTGTCAGTCTGGTGGGCTCATGGACAAGAGAAGGAAATTCTCGTTTCTAAAGGAATAATCTCAGCGATCTGTGTTCTCTGTACAATCTCAATATCATTCTACTCTACATATTTATTCTAGGTAGTAATACAATGGAATTCAACCTATTCCACCTGGATGTTTCCCTAAATAGGTATAGGAGGTACCACTCAAAATATTAAATAAGAAAGCTAACCAAGGAGAGATGTAAAAACAAACTCATGGAGGAAGACTCTAGAATGTAGTTAAAGTCACATGATTGTCTACCTCCAATTATCATTGATATGCATCTGAATTGTGAACTACTTTCAAAATAATTTATTGGATCAGGTGTCTGCTGTGTTGCAATTATTTTCATACTATCTCTGGTATCCTATTTCTGGCCTCGGTGAAAACGCAATTCTTAAAAATCAAATATTTCTTAAATAATCTACCTCTTTACAAAACAAAAATGACTTAATGTTTATACATACCCTCCCCCTAGAATTATAAGCAAAACTATCTTAGTTTACTGGTTAAAAGTATAAACACTCAAAATGGAAAACATGTACAGTCTTTCTGGATCTTTCAGGGCCACTACCTTCCAGGTGACAAAGATAACGGAAGAATTTTAAAAATCCATTCCTTCAATATTCGAAAATAAGTAACTTCCTTCCCCAAAGTCCCAGACTTTTCTTTTGGTGTTTAAAAACACATGTTGACAACTCTACCATCCAAACACTTCAAAATAACCATGTCTATTCTACAAAGGGGCAAATAAGAAACTTCTATTGACAAGACCTGGAGAACATGTTGGCTCTAAACTGATGACTGGTTTACATTAAGGTTTTTCCCAATTAGAAGTGAATGTCACCCTAATTCAGGGGCAGTACAGGCTGATGAGACTGCATCCCACTCAACCACAAAGAAAGCCAAGACCAGTAAGTTACCTTACCTCAAACTGTGGGTAGGGAGGAGTCATGGCCGAGGGGGGCCCTGAGGTGGGAGGTGGCATCCCTGAAGTGGGTGGGAACAGACCCAAAGCATTCAGATTTAATCCAGGAATTAAATGTGCTTGAAGCTGCAACGGTAAAAAGGTCCCTTTATTTGACGATTAAAAGAATCAAGGGAACGTGAACATTTATAAGTGACAATATTCAGACTGTGATCTCTTGTCTCAAAGAAAGAGATCGTCTGATGACTCAAACTTAAAGCAGATGTCCCATATAGCAGATGGCTATACTTGATCACATAGCTTACATCTCTGGGTATTTTAACATCTGTGTGCTGATCTGCATCCTCCTTGTTCCACAGCTGTATTAAGCTGTCTCACAGACAGCCTTCCTTTCCCTTATGACCAGCTTGCAGAGCTCAGTCAAAAATGTACTCTGTATACTGTGGGCACATGGTAAATACAGACTGAAAATCTTGTATTCGTTGAAGAGGTAATCTAGTAGGATACGTTCATTGAAAAGCAAACCAGCGTATACAGAACCAGCTATTAAAAGATCTTTATATTTTGACCAATCCCCCACCACCACCACCCAAAAAAAAAAGAAGAAAAAGAAACAAAAGATCGTTATTCCTTGGTTAAAATTTGGCACTCACGGGGCAAGAGGCCTAAAACAAATTTGGTCACATCCCCATGTAACCACTGCAACTAAACATATCTTTAGAACATCCATATAGGAGCCAGAAAGGGGATTTTACTTTAGTTTAATTTTATAAGGGTTGAGGAAGTAACGTAGAGAGTAGAATTGAGACTTGATAATCTTTTTAAAAGGCCCATGGGGTTGGACTTAATCCCCATTGAGTCTAAAACATCTGGACAAGCAGTTGGAATACAAAGGCTGGCAGTCATCTGGGGTGACATGCTCAGCATTCTAGGTTCTTTACACAAAGGTAACACTTTCACATTTCCCTCCTCTCAGAGGTTTGGTGTTTTGGATGACTGGTCTGATTTAAGAATTTTATTTTAAATCATTTAATTCAAAATTTAAGATTGAATTTTGAAGTATTCCATTTTCTGCACCATTTCATCCATTAAGGAATATCACCAATTTGCTTTAATATTTGATAGCCTTAGATACACCACACTGATTGTTTTGTCATTTGAAATTCTTGTTATCTCCCAGGGTTTACTGAAGTTATCAAGTAAATTTTAAGCTTGTAATCTTAACATTAACTTATATATGCATTATATCTATTGTAATCCTATGCATGCAAGGTAAGTAGTGGCCCCATTTGACAGATGAGAAAACTGAGGCTCAAAGAGACTAAGCAAATTGTCTAAGAGAATAGAGCTACAGCTCATAAATAGTTGAACAGGGATTCAAACCTAGTTTACATAGCTCTAGAGCCCACATTCCTTCTACACTAAACTCCTCAAATTAACATGGGAAGGGAGGTACTATATTAACCTTTTGTAGGTAGATATTAGCCTTACCTCACTGAGAAGGAACCTAAGGCTCAAATACTAAACAATGTGTGGAATTACAAAGATAGCCAAGCCTGCTGTCAAAGCTACTATATTCCCTACTATCCCAGGGTACTTGCTGAGGTACTAAAAATCAATGAGAACTACTTCCAATGACACCACCACTAAAGAAATCAGTATTTATGAAATAAACACCTTTTAACTATTCATCGAAATAAAGACATATCTGTCTTATTAAAACTAACATTCATAGAAGCAATATCATTTTCATAAGACTCCCTGATTTTCTTCATTATCTCTTCCTCAGCTTTGGCACACGTTTCAACATTGCCTTTTACTGTGATGGTGCGTTCCGGATTATACAGCGTCAATTCCTGCAATCTGTGGAATGAAAAAGAGCGAGGAAAAAGAGTGAGAATTAGAGGAGGAAGACAGTTAATAATAATTCAGCCACACATGGCAATTAAAAACAAATTTTCGACCCTGGCAGTATGCAAAAGTGGGGGGTCAAACGTGATTGGAAATGAGCCCCAAAAGACACAAATCCAAGAATATTTGAGCTGCAGGAGAGAAGAAAATAATTCCACTCCCGCCTACTTGGTAAAAATTGCTAATTGTATATAGTTCAATGAAGGCCATGGTTTAAACATAGCTTGCTTCTTGACCACTTAAAGTTGAACCACTTTCACAATTCAACAGTGAATTGAAAAGGAACGGTAGGGAGGTTTTAGTGGAAAGCAAGGACCAGAAATACATGACCTTTAATAAGTATGTTCTTCATATGCCCTGACCAATTCTAGGCATAATTGGCATTCTCATGAATTGAATTTTCTGGGTCACCAAACAAGGGAAAAGCGTGGAAATATTCCAAAACCACAATCCAGAATTCAATTGTCTAAACTTAATTTTTACCAGCATCTTTATAATTTAGATTAAAGCAGGCTGGAGGAAATAATATAAATCAGTCCATCTTGACTAAATTTAAAAAATGGTCCATTGATGACCATTTATTTAGACAACAAAAGAATTAGGTGGCAGCAGCAATATTCAGGAACTCCCTGTTTGATTAAGGTCGTGGTGAGGCTTCAAAATCCACCAAAATTATATCTGAGAACGTGTAAACCTAAGCTGGTCAACAGCCATGAGAGGAAAAGCAACGGGAAAGGTATCTGCCATGAAAAGGTATGTATGCTGAAAGGATATGGAATATTGATGCAGCTCTTCCTCATTATTCCTGGAGTTAAATTCTATTTTCACTACTAGTAAAATGTTGTAGGCTAACCTTGAGCTAGATAAATGGGGTATTATTCCTTAACTTTTTCTAAAACCTTGCTAAAAATGAAAACATTTATATAATGGAGGCTTAGAGTACTTAAAGTAGTATATAATTCTAATCTCCAGTCTCCACCCAGGCTTGCCAAGTATTTTGTATCATCACTTTTAGAATAGCTGCTTGTAGAATAGCTTTTAAGAGTTTTTCTTTTAAACTCTCCCCTTTCTGAGCATTAAGACTCAAGACAAGGTAGTATCACTTACGATATTTACCAGTTTGTAGTTTTCTTTCTTTACAACCAAACAGGAATTTCCTACTTCTGTATGACCTCCTTTGAAAACTCCTCGCTACAGAAACACTTTGCCTCAGTCTTTCCCTACCATTTTTCTTAAATTCACTATTCTCTTCTTCCCACCTTTTTGGGTACTGTGATAGAAACTAAGGACAGTCAGCCCCAGGAAAAGAAAGACCTTTCCATATATCTGCAGAGCACCACGGACTCTAGGAGTGGCAGCCTGCCTCCAAGATGACACCCACACCCAGAGAATAGGGCTGACTTGTGTAAACAGTATTAGAAAAAATAATAGAATGTAACTTGTGAGGCTATGTCATAGAAGACATTGCAGCTCCCACCGTGCTCTTTCCTGGATCATTCACTCTGATAGAAGGCAGCCGCCATATGCTAAGGACACCCAAGCAGCTCAGTGGAGAGGCTCACATGGTGAGGTGCTGAGGCCTCCAGCCAACAGCCAGCACTCACCTGTCGACAGCATCACGAGACGCCACGCACCAGAACCACCCAGCTAAGGTGACCCACAGAAACTAGCGAGCAATAAATGTTCTCTATCATCTTAGGATGTCAAAAGCTGGCATAATTTGTCACACAGCAATGGATCATGAACTGGGTTATATATTCCAGCTTTGGGAATAGATGTCAGAAAACATGGCCAAAACTTCAGCTGGAAAATATAAATGCAAAGCATCCCATTCTTCCTATTTAGTAAGAGTATATAATGTTCTGAATATGGATCGGAAACATAGCAGGCAGTAGGCTGAGGCTCAGAAATAGAGTCCAAGTATGACAATATAGGTAAGGTGGAACAGCTGAAAAGTGGGAGACATTAGCTTACTTCAAAACATACAGCTTATAAAGTGTTTGAGGCTGGGCGCGGTGGCTCACGCCTGTAATCCTAGCACTCTAGGAGGCCAAGACGAGAGGATCGCTCAAGGTCAGGAGTTCGAAACCAGCCTGAGCAAGTGCGAGACCCCATCTCTTACTCAAAATAGAAAGAAATTAATTGGACAACTAAAAAAATATATAGAAAGATTAGCCAGGCATGGTGGTGCATGCCTGTAGTCCCAGCTACTCGGGAGGATGAGGCAGAAGGATCACTTGAGCCCAGGACTTTGAGGTTGCTGTGAGCTAGGATGACGCCATGGCACTCTAGCCCGGGCAACAGAGTGAGACTGTCTCAAAAAAAAAAAAAAAAAGTATTTGAGGCTGGGTACAGTAGCTCACACCTATAATCCCAGCACTTTGGAAGGCTGAGGCAGGAGGATTGCTTGAGGGCAGCAGTTCAAGACCAGCCTGGGCAAAATAGCAAGACCCCAACTCTACAAAAACTTTTAAAAATTAGGCAGGCATGGTTGTGCACACCTTTATTTCCAGGTACTCGGGAGGCTGAGACAGGAAGGCACTTGAGCTGAGGAGTTTGATTGCAGTGAGCTATGATGATGCCACTGCACTCTAGCCCTCTCTCTTAAAAAAAATAAAAATAAAAAAGCAACAGTGTTTGAAAAGTTTCTGGTCCAAAAGCAAGGCAGCACTTACGGAGATATGGTGATTTTAGTGTCTGTGTCTTGTTCAATTTTTTTAAGGTTTCTTCCTTCTTTACCAATAAGACGGCCTACAAAATTATTATGAGCTAAAATCTTCAAGGGAATCTCTTCTGTACTGTAAATAGAAAAATGATCATAGAATTAGAGTAAACAAACCTACTCTTGGGTAAAAAGACAATATTCATTCATTAAACATTTACATCCTACCTACTATCTGGGAAGCATTGTGTTAACACTTAAAACTTGCTGACGAAGGGAGGGGGAGGTGGTGGAACAAAACAAAACAAAATCAAACCAAAAACTTGCTGACAGGCTGGGCACAGTGGCTCACACCTGAAATCCTAGCATTCTGGGAGGCCAAGGTGGGAGGATCCCTTGAGCTCAGGAATTGGAGACCAGCCTGAGCAAGAGCGAGACTCTATATCTACTAAAAACAGAAAAAATTAGCTGGGCAACTAAAAATATGAAAAAAATAAGCTGGGCATGGTGATGTTCATCTGTAGTCCCAGCTACTTGGGAGGCTGAAGCAGGAGGTTTGCTTGAGCCCAGGAGCTGGAGGTTGTAGTGAGCTATGATGACGCCACTGCACTCCAGCCTGGGCAACAGAGCAAGGCTCTATCTCAAAACAACAACAACAAAAACTTGCTGACAATTGGCCTACATTCTAGTAATGCATGAATAGAAGAGGCGAAAAACTATTAGCCACTATTCGGATAGAAGTTAATTTTTAAAATAGTTTTTCTTTTATTCACGTCAGAGAACATCTATCTTCAATGATAGATTCTCTTATTCAAACCCTTATTCCCAAACCTCCAATACCAGAACACGATGTAAAAATGCAAAACGGTACAATCCTAGGAGGAAATTTCAAAATATATACCGAGAGATACATGCATAATTTGTAGACGGAAACAGAAGAAACTCAACAGTGGTTACACTCTGGGGGAAAGGGATAAGACCCCCGAAAGGGGACTTTCACTTTTCATTCTGTACCTTTCTGAATTTCTAAGTTATATGCACATCACTGTTTAAAAATGTCATAGGGGTCATCAAATAGTGGGTTTTTTATTTATTTTTCTGTATACTAAAAATAATTACATTCCTATAATAAAGCATCCACATATAACACCTTATTACTAAAACATATTTGAAGGTCTCTACAAATGACAGATTGGTAATGAGGTCCCCTGGCTAACTCCAACACCTTACTCCGAATTTCACTTTTAGTGTAGTGCTGTTCTGTGCAGTGAAAGTGGCACAGAACCCAACCTCCCCTCGAAGTTCCTGTGGAAGGGGTACTTGGAGTTCCAGCCTACACCACACAGATAAACCTCCAGTTTACCTTAGCACAGAATTAGGGACGTCCCTGCCTCCACACTCCTGCTGCTCCAGGGTGGAGCTGGGCAGAGGACAAGAACAGAGCTCCAACAGGCTGAGTAAAGGATGAGTGAGGAATTCGGGCCTCAGTCTTGGACGAATCCCAGGACAACTCTTGGTTCTAGGTGGGCTTCCTACGTTCCCCAATTGCCGCCTCAGCAGCTGGAATTCTCTTCCCCGTTATCCCCACTCGCCCCGTATCCAAATACGCATGGAAATGAAAATATTTAAGTATTTAAAAGGCTTATTCCTTACAACTGAATCAGTTGTGCCAACTACCGTAGCCCCACCAGGCTAGCGTTTCCCTTTGTTGGCAATTCCCAAGAACTGTGTCATAGAAATCCTAAATAAAACAGAACGAATATCAAACCTCGTTCACGGGATAATCCTCTTTACTCACAATTTTATGTCTTGAGCTTCCTTATGCATAATCTCCAGGATAGACTTACAAGCCGCAGAGGTACCTTCGGGGGTAGAGAGGATAGTAATTGACTTCTCAGCAGCCCCTGCATTCTCCTTGCGATGGACATCGATCCTGACAGTGGGCGCAAGCAGAGAGGAAAGCAAGAGCTGTGAGCATGTATGCACAACAGTCTGTATCACCCACTGCGAAGTCGCAGTTCTTCTGGGCAAAGAGCGGATGACTCACTTCCCTCAAGAGCATAAAGTCTTGATAAGCTGTCAACACTGATGCGTTAGAGACAAGTTTTAATTCCAGGAATGCTCTCCTTGCTCTTTCCTCAGTCCAACTAAGCAGGAACATCTTTTCATCCTGCCCGAGCTATTTGTACATACATCTTCTGTAAGGACAAAGGCTCTCCTGTGCATTGTGGGATGTTTAGCAACATCCTCTGCCTCTATACCCACTAGGTGCCAGCAGCACACCTCCCACACAGACACAACAGCAAGAACATCTCTCATATTGCCAGTTGCATGCTGGGCATGGGGGTGGGGAGGATTTCTCCTAGTTGAGAACCATTGGTATAGGAATGTTCACTGTGGCACTATTTACAGAACACAGAATTACCTTTAAATGCCCATCAGGAAGAGATGGCTAAATAAGAATATAGCTATATCATACAGCTGTTTTTTAACAATATAAATTTACAGGTACCAACACAGTAAAAAGTCTTGATCTTAAGTGAAAAAAATACAATACATATCATATGATTTTTAAGAGTTACACATGTTAGTAGATGCAACAAAAAAGTCCTATAAAGATATACCCCCAACTTAACAATAGCTACCTCAGAGGGTGAGACAATTTTTAAACCTGCATGTTTTGAATCAAATACAAAACAAGTGTGTTGTTGCTTAGAAAGCATAAGATCAAATAACCAAAAAATGTATGTTTTAGGGAAAATTAGGTACTTGTTGAGCCCTTTTGGCCACATAAACACTCAAAGATAAAGAACTACATAACTTGTGGCCATGAGAATGACCACTTCATCGTGCCAACAACATCAAGATTTGGTTTTCATTTTCTTGAATGTTTGGTTGAAACTGAAGATTCACCTCAGACATAAAACTTATAACTAAAAATAGGGGCAATGTAGAAATGAAACAAATAAGAGATACCTAGAAAAAACTTAAAAATAGCATCTTAGATATTATAATAATCGTCCCAATCTTGAGGACCATCCTCCCAGCTACAGTTTCCATCCCCAATCATTGTCAGTGATGCTTGTCTTCCGGCGGTATCACGTTACCATTCCTCCCTGCGGTTTATTTCCATCTTTTCACTGTGTTAAAGACTACTAAACTCTGGTACCCTGAGAGAAGAGAAAGTGGCTTTGGAGATTATGGTGGCCCTCTGAGACCATTCCAGAAACAGAGGTTCTGATAATGACTAATTTCAACAGCAAGAGTTAATTAAATCCATGGGCAGAGGTCTGCAAATGAATCATCGGATATAACAAAAATCACTTCCCTTCTCCATCCCCCATCTTCCTGCCTTGAGTAAAACAAACAGTTCAATTTAAGTCACAGCTCTTTCATCTGACAAGGAAACGAGTTAACTCGAAAAGTAACTCTAATCTGCCTTGCATGACAAGGAAAGGAAGCCATGTAACAAGTTTCTGAAACTAATGTTGGATCAAGGGAGGCAAGAAGCCCTTAAATTGTAAGATTAAAGCCAGGCAAACTGATCTGGGTTCTGGTTCAGTTGTCTTCCTCACCCCCTACACGATGAGGTCAGGGCCATTAAAGTTGCACACAGGTAACCAGCACCAAACATCTCCTGCTTCAAAGCAGGAGAAGGCATGATCAGACACCACTGCAGGGGGAGTGGGCATGCAACCACCACTAAACACACTTCTTTTGGAGCTTTGCATGGAAAATGGGCTGGCTACCTCAGTGCGGGCATGGTGCCTATGACAATGGGGTATCCCCCTAGGCCTGCTGGAACAGACACATATGAAGGTATATACAGCACCGCAGTTCTAACACTGAGACAAAGACTATGCCCAATTCCTCAGTTCACATAAAATGAAATCATTCTCCTTTCTAAATATAAAAGGCAAAACCACCCAGTCATTTCTGTAGCTCGCCCAAGGGTTGTGGAATGACATTGTTTGTAGACAACCACTTCTCCCTGGTACACTCACGGGTTCTTTAGGAGATAAGGCAGCAGCAGCCCCAGAGATGTGCCTTGTTCCACACTCTACAGGGCTAGGGGTGGGGTGACAGCTCATCACCAAACTTCTTTGGGTCAAGATGTCCACATACTGCACAACAGTATGATTTGGAAAGCAAAACAACTAACATACACTGCATTGGAGCTTCTGAATTGAGAAAGTATCTAAGATACATACAAAAGACTTCAAACATAATTCACACATCGTCCTTTCGGTCATTTGACAAATTCAAGGGGCTTCTCTGTATCAGGACTTAAGTACTGGGCCTCTGTTTGGTAGATGGTGGTAAATAAAACCAAAGAGTCCCTGCTTTCTGCTCCTAAAATTTAGCTCCAACATGTGGACGGGAATCTTCCAACCCCTTAAAACTTTCGAATTAAACCTATCAAACAACATTTTAAAGAAAAAGCCATTCTAACTACATGGCTTAATCACCATAGGATGAACAATTCTTAACTCACATAAAAACTGAAAAACCAACTCTGTATTGAGGCCACAAACGAAATGGCTTGGACCCAGAAAATCACTTCTATAAGCAAGGAAGGCGGGTAGGGGGTGGAGGGTGGGGCAGAGAACAACCTAGAAGCTGCCCTTCTGTCTGCCAGGGCCTCCCTAACCAGAAGTGGATTAGGTACCATTTGTTTTCCATTCATGCGTGAAAATTTCAGGTTCCCTTTGAGATTAAGGTTTAGCCCCAGATTTACACAAGATGAACACTCAGATATCAAATCACCAGGTTTTTGCACGTTCCCAAGTACTGCACTAGGAGGGTGCATAACCACGTTCAGAAGGGCACCAAGTCCCAGAACAACATACTCTGCCCCTGAGATTCCAAGGGGAGGACAGTGACGCCCACCACACCCAGCAATACTCACTTGGACTGGGTCTGTTTGGTGATGTTCCGAATGGTGGCGCCTTCTTTTCCTATAATGGCTCCAACGAACTGGGTGGGAACCAGTAGGCGCAGAGGCAAGTCGCATGGTTTCTGCTTGGACCCTGACCCTGGAGACCCCTGCCTCGAGGAGCCTCTCTGCCCAAGCCCACGGCGACCTCGAGGCTGCTGCAAGGGGTTCTGCTGGGCGGCCATTTCATCGGGGATATAGGCTACTTTCAAGGTGAAGTTCTCTAACTGGAATCCGTTCAGTTTGTCTAAAGCTCTGAAAGTTGACAAGGGACAGGGGGTAGGAAGAGAAACGGAGCGATATAACATCTTTCAAGCAAAGCAACACCCATCTCTTTCATTCAGGATTATTGGCTCTAAAGCTTCTGAATAAAGCCACTGCACAAGTAGCAAACCCAGAACACACATAATCCTCCCTCAGTCCCCACATCACCACCAGCCCCCACATTTTCTCTTTGATGTACACAATCTGCACATTGTCAAACTCTTAAGTTTAACCCACGAGGTTAGTGTTAGTAGCAGCTAGGAGTGTCTAACCAGCAAGACAGAAGAGAACGGGCAGCTCTCGCCCCAGCCAGTGCTTCCACAAGAGAATGGAAGAGGCATTAGAAATATATGCCTGTCTATACACTGCACCCTCTAAAATAACACAGGTGTTTGAAGCATTTCAAGAATCGATAGATAAATATCTCTGAGCCATTCATGAGAGACTGGTAGAATTTAATACTCAGGATGGTCAGCCACTCAAAATCTCAGTACCCATCATGAGCCAGTTCCTGAGAAACAGAGGTCCCCGGCCTTGTGGAGTTTATGATCATATCTGGGGTGATGAGGCAGAGGTGAATCCAAAAGAAAATGATGTTACTTTTTTATTTATCCATCCATCAATCACAGAAGTGTGGCCATGACGGACATTGCTCTGTGGCTTGCTCTTTTTCAAATATGAAAGGTCTTGGGATATTTTGATGTGATTTCTGTGTCAGAGGGCATTCTTTTAATAAGCCTCACAGGACGACAACAGGCACATACCACATTTATTATACTGATGTCCTGATGACAGAACCTGAAGTTAACATAGTTAACATATTACCCTTTACTTTCCTCTTGCCCTCCCTTTTTCTTAAAGGAACGTGGACTAAGGGCTCTGAAATATTTCGATTATTTCTAAAGGACTATAACAGTTGAGAAATTTAATATTGCATATTATAGAAAGTTGATGTTTCAACCAACTAGAGATTCCTTCAAAGCAACTTTAATCCTTTAAGACAGGGGTGTACAGATCACTGAAAAGTTCTATCAGGGAAAAAAAATTTAAGGAAACCTGAACCCAACAATGAAATCAATTCTGTCTAGGAATAAAAGGCAGCATCATGAACTATCATATCCTTTCCCCATTATAAACAGCATTGCCAGCTTCAGAAGAGAATGAGTGAATTTTGATCATGAAATTAAGCCAGCAATGTTACAAAAAACTACCTAACTTCTTGAGTGAGACAAACATCCTTCTCCATGGGTATAAACAGAGGTAAACATGTAAGTTACCAGATGCTTCTCAATATTCTGGAACTATCTAAAGTCACATGTCACAACATGGCAAAAACTGTAACTCCTAAATTTTATTATGGTGCTTTAAAAATATTTTCCTTTGAGGGGAAAAGAAAAGATTCTCTCACTCGGGAGGTCGGGTGGCGCAGTGCTCCGTACCCAGTGTGCAGTCCCAGCCGCAAGGACTCCAAACTCAGGCTGCTCCAGGCAGAGAGCAGGCAGCCCCTATTGGGCGGATCCAGCTGTCTAACCACCAACGAAGCAGAGTTCCCGACCCCTCAAACCACAGTGCCCCAAACTCAGACACAGGTGACAAAGTACAGAAGTATAGTAACTGCAGAGCAATGACATTCTCATGACTGAAGATCGATCCTAAGTTTCTGAATTTTAAATGAACCACTGAAATCTTTCTATGCACAAAGTTTGATATTCAGCTATGTCAAAGGGTAGGTGATATGCTGAGTTCATTGGGGGGGGTAAAAATTTGAATATTTTCACCAAACCTATCGCACATGTAAGGCATGAGATGAACAACTGTCATCATAATTATTCTAAACATATGCATTTGATTCAACAGAACAAGGATGTTTATCCTACATTGTGTATTGCTCCGGATGCTGTTTTTCATCATTACTTGACTCTTTGCTCTTAAGGCTATTTTTAAAGTCATGTAGAAGATGCTGAGTAATTTTGTTAGTTGGTAGCACTTAACTGTATTGATGAAAAGTTTTGTTGGGGTGGATCACAGTTTAGAGCTGAAAGGGTTTTGTTTTATTTTGTTTTTGGCGTAAGAGTCTTTGCTCTATCACCTCGGCTAGAGTGCCGTGGCATCAGCCTAGCTCACAGCAACCTCAGACTCCCGGGCTCAAGAGATGCTCCTGGCTCAGCCTCCTAAGTAGCTGGGAATATGGCTGAGCACCACCACACCCAGCTAATTTTTTAAATTTTTAGCAGAGATGGAGTCTTGCTCTTACTCAGGCTGGTCTCAAACCCCTGAACTCCAGCCATCCTCCAACTTGGGCCTCCCAGAGTGATAAGATTACAGGTGTGAGCTGGGCCCTGAAAGAGTCTTGATAGAGGTAATGGTTCAACCTGAGGATGAGTGAGAAGGAAAGAAAGAAGAAATGAGACCGAGAGAAGTTAAACTTACCCAAGAGTCCACATACAGATCTGAACAGTAAAAAAGAATATGGACTAGAGACCAGAATTCTAGTCCAACTTGAACATTAACCAGCCATGTTACCTTGGAAGGGTCATTTTCCTATTTGGGATTAGCTGCTTCACCTTTAAAACTAAAAGCTTAGACTTATGGTTCCTTTCAGCTCTAAAGGTGTACGTCTAAAATCTCCCTTTTCGAGCTGGGTGCGGTGGCTCACGCCTGTAATCCTAGCACTCTGGGAGGCTGGGGCAGGCAGATCGTTTGAGCTCAGGAGTTCGAGACCAGCCTGAGCAAGACTGAGACCCCGTCTCTACTAAAAAATAGAAAAAATTAGCCAGACACAGTGGCGCATGCCTGTAGTCCCAGCTGGTCGGGAGGCTGAGGCAGAAGGATTACCTGAGCCCAGGAGTTTGAGGTTGCTGTGAGTTAGGCTGACACCATGGCACTATAACCTGGGCAACAGAGTTAGACTCCGTCTCAAAAAATAAAATAAAATCTCCCTTTTCTTATTCCCATATGTCACTGCCGTATGTCACACATAGGTCCTAACAAGATGAGGTTTAACCATTATTGAAACACCATAAATTCTCTCCTTGTACCGAGAATAAGAGGTTCATAGATACAATTCAGCAATAATTATTGAAAGCCTTGTAAGTAGCACTGCAGGGAGGTACATCTTAAGGAAATAATTATGGATAAAGCCCAAATATGTATTTGCCTACAAAGGGCTTCATAACTAAATTGGTTCTAAAAGGAAAAAAACAGAAACAAAAACAAAACCGGAAACACCCTTGATAATGTACAAAAGAGCTGTGGTCCCCAACCCATGAGCTTTGGACCAGTACCATGGCCTATTAGGGACTGGGCCCCAGAAAAATTGTCTTCAATGAAACTTATGAAGGGGTTCGAGGGAGGAGGTGCACACACAGCAGATGGGTGGCTCGGGTTAGTGAGGGAAATTTGTATTTACAGCCTCTCTCCACCACTCACATCACTCCCTAAGCCCCACCTCCTACTCCCCACTCTCCGCACTCCACGAATATGGTCCCGCTGCCACAAGGTTTGGGACCACTGCTAGAGGACTGGATGATATAAACTGCAGTGACGATGAGATGCTGTGTATAGATAACAGCATAAATTATATAAATGAAAAAACCACCCAAAGACTGCAGAACGATCTAGTAATTTTAAAGTTATGCTTCATGGGATAAATTCTACAAAACTCTGGCAAATTAACAGTGATAAGCTATTTCTGAATAGCAAAATGGTAAGAAATTTTTGTTTCTCTGCTTTATTCTTTTCTTCATGGTAAATCTTCTATTTACAAATGTTTAAAGTTAAGAATTTCTTAAACTTCAGCTGTTGGCCATTTTACTTCAACTCTTTAGAGAATTTTCTCCCTTAACTATTGGCCATGTTACTTCAAACACATCTAACGATAACTACGTTTACCTGATACCAGGTAAGCGTAGTTATCCACACTGCGATAAAGGAGCCGCAATGAATGCCTAAACATTGTGGGGGTTATTTCTTGTCAAACATGACAAGTCTCCTAGTGTGAAGTCTGTCCTGGACGGTTTTATTTCAGCACCCCTGTGAGAGGTGGTGAGACTCTGTTGCTCCAAGGAACAAAAGTACATTTGCTAACACTCCTATTTTTAATGAAAAATAACTAATGAAATAAGATTTAAACATTATAATTTATTATTTTAGTAAGTTATGAATCAATCTAAGACTTAAGCCTAAAACAATCATACATATTACCTGTAATATGTGTGTGCCATTAACCTTTGATTTATCTTAGCCACAAGGTGGCAGGAATTTCCACGTTAAATTCTGTCTTAGAGACATAGCCATATTTGAGGATTCTTTTTTTTTTTTTTGAGACAGAGTCTCACTTTGTTGCCCAGGCTAGAGTGAGTGCTGTGGCATCAGCCTAGCTCACAGCAACCTAAACTCCTGGGCTCAAGCGATCCTTCTGCCTCAGCCTTCCGAGTAGCTGGGACTACAGGCATGCGCCACCGTGCCTGGATTTTTTCTATATATTAGTTGGCCAATTAATTCTTTCTATTTATGTAGAGACGGGGTCTCGCTCTTGCTCAGGCTGGTTTCGAACTCCTGACCTCGAGCAATCTGCCCGCCTTGGCCTCCCAGAGTGCTAGGATTACAGGCGTGAGTCACTGCACCGGCCATATTTGAGGATTCTTAAAAGTGGCATTCACAGAGCTGTAAAGTGACAGAGGCTGCTGCAAACATTTTGAAACTAGTTCCCTAGCTCCTCAGCAAGCAACAAGGTATTAGCAGCAATAAAACATATTAGAAAATGAGTAGCTGCTAACTTTTGAGCTCTATTATAATAAGTGTTTTGGAGGCAATAACTTAGTTCCTCAACAGCCTCATGAGCTAAAAGACTATAATCATTCCCATATTAGAGATGGGGATCAACCACCACACATTAGCTTGACCAAGTCACAGCTAGAAAAGTGGTGACACAGGGTCCATTTCATGTACAATGACTCTGGAATTCAACCCCAAACCTGCAAGCTCCACTCACACCTTCCCAAGCACATCCCAGTCACACAGCTTTCCAAGTGGCAGATGCCCGAAGAGAAATTGAGACTATCAATGAGCCCTCGTTACCTAGGATAAGCTTTGGGTGGCCTGCCAAGGAAGGCCTGGAGAAACGACACCAGGCTGGGTTAAGGAAGCAGGCTGTCAGGATTCTGTGGAACAAGTGCTGGAAGATACTTCAAGCTGCTTAGAAGCAGCCCAGAACCAGCGGATTAAATAACAGTTACTATTCCTTGAGTGCCTATGTGCCAGGCCTTTTGATAAGGCCATTTCTACATAAATATTATGAGTACATACATGTGCATGAATATATTTTTTTTTGAGAGATGGGGCTCGCTATGTTGTCCAGGGTGGACTTGAACTCCTATCCTCAAGCAATCTTCCCACCTCACAGCCTTGTAAATTGTTTTTCTTGACCTTCATTTTGTAGAAAGAAAACTGAAGCTCAGAGCCCACACTTTCTTCACTACACCCAATGCCTCTCAAATAAAATTCTCCTCACAGAATGAGAAGCACTCCATAGCCCTTTTTAAAACAGCCTATTATGCCTGGGTTGGTAGCTCAATGCCTGCAATCCCAGCACTTTGGAAGGTCAAGATGGGAGCCACTTGAAGCCAGGAGTTCAAGACCAGGCTGGGCAGCAACACAGAGACCCCATGTCTACTAAAAATAGAAAAATTAGCCCAGCATGGTGGTGCCTGTAGTCCTAGCTACTCTAGAGGCTGAGGTAGGAGGATTGTTTGAGACCAGGAATTTGAGGTTGCAGTTAGCTGATGATGCCACTGCACTCTAGAACGGGCAACAAAGCAAGACTCTGTATCAAAAGAAACCCAAAAAACCAACAAAAAATAGCTTATTAGGAAACTCTAATAGATAACAATTTTCATAACATTATATAATAAAACTGAGTTTTCCAATTTTTTTTTAGATCTATTAACATTCTCTAAATAGTCAGTTGCTTTCTAATTCTCTTCAATCTTTAGACTTCTTGGAGAAGGGGTGCGAATGCCATTCTTATAAGGCAACTTGACGTAGGCAGGAATTAATAAAATTGCATGGTCCCTCTCTAAATACTCTCATCACCAGAAGGCTTGTCCTTGAGGATAGGGACTTTGCCTTTATTCATTGGCAGCTTTTAGTCAATAGTTATTACTCAATCAATAAATGTTAACTGATTCAATATTAGATGAAGGGCACTGATGACTACTTCCCTAATTGAAATGCCTAATTGATTTGTTTAGGTTACCAAATTACTAAATTAAACAATTCTTTTATTAAGACCTTTATTAACAGGTGCTTAATTAAACAATTCTTAACAGCCTTTTCCTGCTCTCTTTGGGATCAACAGGAGCCTGCCAATCTCTAACAATCACTATAAAGAATTTTGAGAATGTGAATGTCTCCACATTCAGCTTGCTGTCATGTTAGTATTCTTTTCAGCAATAATTCTGCCTTGACTATCTGGTCTACGTTTCTTGTGCTTGTACTCTTAACACTCCAAAAAAACTTTTTTAAGGAGGGGGCTAAATGTCAATTAACTCATCCTACACCAAAGCTCATCTTAAGTCTCTTAAAAGCTATGTAGATTATGTCTCCAATTTGACTTAGCTGTAAAACTAAGCAAATTTTTCCCCCTTTAGCTAGATAGCCTCGCCCAAGTTTTCAAATAAGGAAACTAGAACAGACCTCTGACAGTCTCCAAATATCCTTGGGCTTATTATCACAGAATCCCAAATTATTTTCTATCCAACAGTAAAACATATAAGGCAAAAGGAGCTTTTTGCCTTTTCACTATGCTCACTCTTATCCACCTCATCTACTGAGGGTATTAAAAGCTTCAATTTCGCTGTTCTTCTTACATGATATGATTGAACAACAAAATTTATAAAAATCAATTTGTGTTACAACTCATACCACAATTTATAAAATGTCCAGGACCTCATAAGTGCTAAAATTTGTTAAATGAACAAAGGATACAAACAGAAGGAAAAATAGAATATGTGTAAACATATTAAACACCCTTCGATCTCACTTAGGAGAAAAATGAAAATTAACACAAGATACCACTTTCACCTACTAGATTGGCAAAGTTTGATAAAGTCCTATGTTGAGGAGAGTATGGAGAAACAGACTCTCACACAATGCTGAACAGAATTTAAACTACTCCAAAATCTATGAAGGGTAAAATTAAAAATGCAATTCTATTTCTGGAAATGTATCCTGTAGATATCTTCACACACATGCACGCTAATACATGCAACAATCAGATTCAACAGATCACTGGTCATAACTGCAAGAAACTAGAAACAACCTACATATCCAGATTGAGACAAATCATTCTGTAGCCATATAATCAAATAGTATGCAACTACTATAAAAATATATTTATATGTACAAGACACTCAAATATTATGGTATCATTTATGTAAAAGGAGGAAAAATACACACGTATCTGTCACACAAGGGATGAGGTTGGGGGAATAATACGGGGAGGAAAATTTCCACTATGTGCATCTTTAGACCTTTAAAATTTTGCACCATGTGAATATTACCACTTTAAAAAATAAAGTTCCATTTGTGTTATATAAATTTCCATCTTCTTCCCAGCCTTATCTTTCCTTTCATAGTCCTACCATGAGTGGGCACTGTTTTGATAACCTAGCTCACTTCCTACTCTTGCAGCTTGTTTCATCTTTCTCTTTTAGGGCTCAGGGTCAGACAGCGTAATCTTTCCTTTCAGCTTTCCCACAGAGGACAGGCATGTTCCTCCCTGTACTGTATCTGGAGGTGGTTAAGACTTGTGTAGTCAGCTGACAGCGCTGTGCTGCTGGGCACTTGGTGTGCCATTTCTCCGTGTCCATGTTCTGAACAGATCTGTCAAAGGCAGTACTTGTGGGATCCCCATTCTCCTTCTAGTGCTCATTAAGTCCATCTGATCATTCAAAGCCCACAGAATTATCTTTTCCTAGGGCAGATCATTTGATCTGCAAAATATTGCCTGTCAATTGCATTGGAATATAGTTTTTCCATAAATCTAATACCAAATTACGTTGGTCCAATGTCCACACATTGTCCAGTGACAACAGCAGTCAGAGAAATCAGTGAACAAGAAGATTTAACTAACACTGTTGTTAGTAACACATGAGTGACTTACCAGCTTTGGATAAAACAGCAGTAATACATGTATCGATCGTACCAATAAAGGGGAGGGGGAGACTTCTTGTAATTTGGCAACAATACCTAGGCCAAGAGCTTTTTATAAATAGGATGTAATTCAGCTTCATACTAGATCACTCAATTATTGGCATTAAAGATATACTTGAAAATGTAGTAACAACTTTAACCAATGCAGATTCTTGCTAGACAAACTTAAAAAAAAAAATCAAAACCCAAAACAAAGAAAGGGGCCATTACAGGGTCAAATTTTGCAAAGTAAAGTTTCTTTTCTGCTACCCACCAGCCCCTCTCCAACTGCGAAGTCCACAAAATATGTTACTATATTTAACCTAGTTAGTGTGTGTGTGTGTGTGTGTGTGTGTATATATGTATAAAAAGTTTTAAACCGCTTACTGTCTAGCTTGGTCCTTACTGGAATAGGTTACATTTACGACTGCAGTTTCCGAGTCAGTGTTCACTAGAGGAAGAGAAAAACGAAGAAAAGAAAAGTTAGTTTTCTTTCTACTTCCTTCCTTTCACAAAATTGAAAGCAATTCAGAATACATGTACCTTGCTCACAGCTTTCTACCACTCCATACTGGACTAGTAAACCATCCAGCACCTATCAGGAGGGGGAGAGAAAATTATAAATTTTCAGTTTCCCAAGTTATTAGCAAGGGCAGGAATGAATATGTCTTAAGGTCACTAAGTAACTGTGATAGAAGAGAACTGAAAAATTAATTGGGACTTTGGACTGCAGAACTACGGGATGGACAAACGGCTCGCTCGGTGGGCTTCTCTCCTGCCTATTCCTAGATTCCTGGCGTTAATCTCCTTTCCTTTGGCCAACCAAGAAGTAACAGTGGCTCAGCAAAGGGTTCAAAGCCAGAGCCATCTAGCTCCTGGGATGGTCCTGGAACAGAAGGAGAAGGAGCATATATTTCTCACACGTACATGAACACATCATCATACTTCCTCCTTGTATACAAAGTCACAAGACAAGTGTCTGAGTTAAGAAACTAACATTTTATCTTTAAGATGTTCTTTTACAGGCTGGGTGCAGTGGCTCACGCCTGTAATCCTAGCACTCTGGGAGTGCCAAGGCGGGTGGATAGCTCAAGGTCAGGAGTTCGAAACCAGCCAGAACAAGAGTGAGACCCTGCCTCTACTAAAAACATAAACAATTAGCCAGATGTGGTGGTGCATGCCTGTAGAGACAGAGTCTCACTTTGTTGCCCAGACTAGAGTGAGTGCTGTGGCATCAGCCTAGCTCACAGCAACCTCAAACTCCTGGGCTCAAGCGATCCTTCTGCCTCAGCCTTCGAGTAGCTGGGACTACAGGCATGCGCCACCGTGCCTGATAATTTTTCATATATATTAGTTGGCCAATTAATTCTTTCTATTTATAGTAGAGACGGGGTCTCGCTCTTGCTCAGGCTGGTTTCGAACTCCTGACTCGAGCAATCTGCCACCTTGGCCTCCCAGAGTGCTAGGATTACAGGCGTGAGCACGCGCCGGCCATATTTGAGGATTCTTAAAAGTGGCATTCACAGAGCTGTAAAGTGACAGAGGCTGCTGCAAACATTTTGAAACTAGTTCCTAGCTCCTCAGCAAGCAACAAGGTATTAGCAGCAATAAAACATATTAGAAAATGAGTAGCTGCTAACTTTTGAGCTCTATTATAATAAGTGTTTTGGAGGCAATAACTTAGTTCCTCAACAGCCTCATGAGCTAAAGACTATAATCATTCCCATATTAGAGATGGGGATCAACCACCACACATTAGCTTGACCAAGTCACAGCTAGAAAAGTGGTGACACAGGGTCCATTTCATGTACAATGACTCTGGAATTCAACCCCAAACCTGCAAGCTCCACTCACACCTTCCCAAGCACATCCCAGTCACACAGCTTTCCAAGTGGCAGATGCCGGAAGAGAAAATGAGACTATCAATGCAGCCCTCGTTACCTAGGGATTGAGCTTTGGGTGGCCTGCCAAGGAAGCCTGAGAAACGACACCAGGCTGGGTTAAGGAAGCAGGCTGTCAGGCCGAGCCCACAGAGCAGGCCTTCAGGATTCTGTGGAACAAGTGCTGGAAGATACTTCAAGCTGCTTAGAAGCAGCCCAGAACCAGCGGATTAAATACAGTTACTATTCATTGAGTGCCTATGTGCCAGGCCTTTTGATAAGGCCATTTTCTATAAATATTATGAGTACATACATGTGCATGAATATATTTTATTTTTTGTAGGATGGGGCTCGCTATGTTGTCCAGGGTGGACTTGAACTCCTATCCTCAAGCCATCCTCCCACCTCACAGCCTTGTAAATTTTTCTTCTTGACCTTCATTTTGTAGCCAAGAAAACTGAAGCTCAGACCCACACTTTCTTCACTACACCCAATGCCTCTCAAATAAAATTCTCCTCACAGAATGAGAAGCACTCATAGCCCTTTTTAAAACAGCCTATTATGGCTGGGTGTGGTAGCTCAATGCCTGCAATCCCAGCACTTTGGGAGGGTCACTTGAAGCCAGGAGTTCAAGACCAGGCTGGGCAGCAACACAGAGACCCCATGTCTACTAAAAATAGAAAAATTAGCCCAGCATGGTGGTGCCTGTAGTCCTAGCTACTCTAGAGGCTGAGGTAGGAGATTGTTTGAGACCAGGAATTTGAGAGGTTGCGTTAGCTGATGATGCCACTGCACTCTAGAACGGGCAACAAAGCAAGACTCTGTATCAAAAGAAACCAAAAAACAACAAAATAGCTTATTAGGAAACTCTAATAGATAACAATTTTCATAACATTATATAATAAAACTGAGTTTTCCAATTTTTTTTTTAGATCTATTAACATTCTCTAAATGTCAGTTGCTTTTAATTCTCTCAATCTTTAGACTTCTTGGAGAAGGGGTGCGAATGCCATTCTTATAAGGCACTTGACGTAGGCAGGAATTAATAAAATTGCATGGTCCCTCTCTAAATACTCTGATCACCAGAAGGCTTGTCCTTGAGGATAGGGACTTTGCTTTATTCATTGGCAGCTTTTAGTCAATAGTTATTACTCAATCAATAAATGTTAACTGATTCAATATTAGATGAAGGGCACTGATGACTACTTCCCTAATTGAAATGCCTAATTGATTTGTTTAGGTTACAATTACTAAATTAAACAATTCTTTTATTAAGACCTTTATTAACAGGTGCTTAATTAAACAATTCTTAACAGCCTTTTCCTGCTCTCTTCGGATCAACAGGGCCTGCCAATCTCTAACAATCACTATAAAGAATTTTGAGAATGTGAATGTCTCCACATTCAGCTTGCTGTCATGTTAGTATTCTTTCAGCAAGTAATTCTGCCTTGACTATCTGGTCTACGTTTCTTGTGCTGTACTCTTAACACTCCAAAAAAATTTTTTAAGGAGGGGCTAAATGTCAATTAACTCATCCTACCAAAGCTCATCTTAAGTCTCTTAAAAGCTATGTAGATTATGTCTCCAATTTGACTTAGCTGTGAAACTAAGCAATTTTTTCCCCTTTAGCTAGATAGCCTCGCCCAAGTTTTCAAATAGGAAACTAGATAGAACAGACCTCTGACAGTCTCCAAATATCCTTGGACTTATCACAGAATCCCAATTATTTTCTATCCAACAGTAAAACATATAAGGCAAAAGGAGCTTTTTGCTTTTCACTATGCTCACTTTTATCCCCCTCATTACTGAGGGTATTAAAAGCTTCAATTTCGCTGTTCTTCTTACATGATATGATTGAACAAACAAATTTATAAAAATCAATTTGTGTACAACTCATACCACAATTTTAAAATGTCCATGGACCAATTTGTATTTACAGCCTCTCTCCACCACTCACATCACTCCCTAAGCTCCACCTCCTACTCCCCCACTCCTGCACTCCACGAATATGGTCCCTGCTGCCACAAAGGTTTGGGACCACTGCTAGAGGACTGGATGTATATAAACTGCAGTAACGATGAGATGCTGTGTATAGATAACAGCATAAATATATTTAATGAAAAAACCACCCATAAGACTCTGCAGAACGATCTTGGTAATTTTTAAAGTTATGCTTCATGGGACAAATTCTACAAAACTCTGGCAAATTTAACAGTGATAAGCTATTTCTGAATAGCAAAATGGTAAGAAATTTTTTTGTTTCTCTGCTTTATTTCTTTCTCCATGGTAAATCTTCTATTTACAAAATGTTTAAAGTTAAGAATTTTCTTAAACTTCAGCTGTTGGCCATTTTACTTCACACTTCTTTAGAGAATTTTCTTCCCCTTAACTATTGGCCATGTTACTTCAAACACGTCTAACGATAACTACGTTTACCTGATACCAGGTAAGCGTAGATATCCACACTGCAATAAAGGAGCCGCAATGAATGCCTAAACATTGTGGGGGTTATTTCTTGTCATACATGACAAGTCTCCTAGTGTGAAGTCTGTCCTGGACGGTTTTATTTCAGCACCCCTGTGAGAGGTGGTAAGTGAGACTCTGTTGCTCCAAGGAACAAAAGGTACATTTGCTAACACTCCTATTTTTAATGAAAAATAACTAATGAAATAAGATTTAAACATTATATTAATTTCATTATTTTAGTAAGTTATGAATCAATCTAAGACTTAAGCCTAAAACAATCATACATATTACCTGTAATATGTGTGTGCCATTAACCTTTGATTTATCTTAGCCACAAGGTGGCAGGAATTTCCACGTTAAATTCTGTCTTAGAGACATAGCCATATTTGAGGATTCTTTTTTTTTTTTTAGAGAGAGATCATGGGATAACATTACAAATCTGGAAATTTAACAGTGATAGCTATTTCTGAATAGCAAAATGGTAAGAAATTTTTTTGTTTCTCTGCTTTATTTCTTTCTTCATGGTAAATCTTCTATTTACAAAATGTTTAAAGTTAAGAATTTTCTTAAACTTCAGCTGTTGGCCATTTTACTTCACACTTCTTTAGAGAATTTTCTTCCCCTTAACTATTGGCCATGTTACTTCAACACGTCTAACGATAACTACGTTTACCTGATACCAGGTAAGCGTAGTTATCCACACTGCGATAAAGGAGCCGCAATGAATGCCTAAACATTGTGGGGGTTATTTCTTTCAACATGACAAGTCTCCTAGTGTGAAGTCTGTCCTGGACGGTTTTATTTCAGCACCCCTGTGAGAGGTGGTTGAGACTCTGTTGCTCCAAGGAACAAAAGGTACATTTGCTAACACTCCTATTTTTAATGAAAATAACTAATGAAATAAGATTTAAACATTATATTAATTTCATTATTTTAGTAAGTTATGAATCAATCTAAGACTTAAGCCTAAAACAATCATACATATTACCTGTAATATGTGTGTGCCATTAACCTTTGATTTATCTTAGCCACAAGGTGGCAGGAATTTCCACGTTAAATTCTGTCTTAGAGACATAGCCATATTTGAGGATTCTTTTTTTTTTTTTGAGACAGAGTCTCACTTTGTTGCCCAGACTAGAGTGAGTGCTGTGGCATCAGCCTAGCTCACCAGCAACCTCAAACTCCTGGGCTCAAGCGATCCTTCTGCCTCAGCCTCGAGTAGCTGGGACTACAGGCATGCGCAACCGTG